CAGATGAAAATGAAAATGTGGTATGACAAAGATGCCAGAAATAGGGTGTTTAAGCCAGGCGATAAGGTTCTTGTATTTTTACCTATTCCTGGTCATCCTTTACAGGCCAAATTTTATGGCCCTTATGAAATTGAAAGCAAGATTAGTGATGTAAACTATGTAGTTAAGACACCAGGTCGACGTAAAGAGAAACGGGTTTGTCACATTAACATGTTAAAAGAGTATTTTGAAAGGTGTGACCGAAATTCTGTAAAACCAGTTTCCACTTTAGCCAATGCTAAGACTGTTCAAAATTGTATTGAAAGTGATATGAGTGTAGAAATGAATGAGAAAGATTGTAATCAGAGTGTTCGTTTGAAAAACTCAGAAGTTTTGGCTAATTTGGATGCCAAACTTGGACATTTGAACATTCACCAAAAGGAACAAGTTAAAAACTTGATGAGTGAGTATCATCACATCTTTTCGGATGTTCCAAAGAAAACTAATGCAGCTTGTCATGATGTCATAGTGGGTGACGCTCTGCCTATCAAACAACATCCGTACCGTCTTAATCCAATAAAATTGCAGTACCTAAGAAGGGAAGTGCAGTACATGTTGGACAATGACATTGTTGAACCTAGTAAAAGTAACTGGAGCTCACCATGTATTCTTGTACCAAAACAGGACGGTACCTACCGATTATGTACAGACTTTAGAAAGGTGAATTCTGTTACCAAAACTGATTCATATCCAATACCTAGAATCGATGACTGTATTGACAAAATTGGAAACGCGAAATTTGTCAGTAAATTTGACCTGTTGAAAGGCTACTGGCAAGTACCGTTAACAGAACGAGCAAAAGAAATATCTGCTTTTGCTACACCAGATGGACTTTACCAGTATAAAGTAATGCCTTTTGGCATGAAAAATGCACCAGCTACATTCCAAAGGATGATTCACTCCCTTCTTCAAGACCTTGAGGGATGCGAGGCCTACATTGATGATGTCATCATATACAGCGACACATGGGACGAACATATCCGAATCATGCGTGCTTTGTTTGACATTCTAGCTAAAGCAAACTTAACTGTGAACCTTGAGAAGAGCGAATTTTGTCATGCCTATGTAGAGTATTTAGGTCATAAAGTAGGTCAAGGTTATGTTACACCCATTATGGCTAAAGTGGAAGCTATTGCAAAGTTCCCGATTCCTACAAACAAGAAAGAGTTAATGAGGTTTTTGGGCATGGCTGGGTTTTACAGAAAATTTTGTCCAAATTTTTCCTCAGTAGTTAGTCCACTTACAGATCTTTTACAAAAGAGGGTTAACTTTGAATGGACAAAGGACTGTGAAAAATCATTTCATAAAATCAAATCTGTCCTTATGAGCAATCCAGTTCTATCAACTCCAGATTTTGCTAAGCAATTTAAGCTTACTGTTGACGCTAGTGATGTTGGAATCGGGGCAGCTTTGTTTCAAGAACATAGTGATAAGGTAGATAGAGTTGTTTCTTATTTTTCAAAGAAACTTACAAAATGTCAACAAAAGTATTCCACCATTGAAAAGGAATGCCTTGCTTTGTTGTTAGCCTTACAGCATTTTGATGTTTATCTGAATGTTACTTTGCATCCAATTCTTGTATATACGGATCACAACCCCCTGACATTTTTGCATAAATTGTCAAACAAGAATCAAAGACTGACTAGATGGAGTTTGTTGTTACAAGAATACAACATAACAATTAAGCATATCAAAGGCAAAGACAATGTTATTGCAGATGCCTTGTCCAGAGTATCGTGAACATATATGATTTTGTATTAATGTACATATATCTCATTTTAACAATGTAAGTTTTCATTGACAATCAAACTTTTAAGGGGGGAGGTGTTGTGAGGTGTGTTGTATTTGTATTATTTCATCATGTATATTATTAGTAACATTAAGTTTCTTGAACATTCCAGAGTGGTCCATATGTTTAGTCATTTTTTCTAGAACATTCTTGAACTTTGTGTATGTCCAGAACTTTCCAGTAATATCATGTACTTACAACTTCTAGAATATTCTAGATTTATATTACTGTATAAATATCCTGTCAATTCGATGCATAGATACAATTGTCGTACAAGCATCACTGAGGTATTACTGGGATATAATTTCACTGGGACATTGTGTGCAGCAACGGACACTCTGATGTATGTATTTTTAGATTTTTGCTAAGTTTGTACTTAATGATTTGTATATTACTGTAAATAAATTATTGTTAAGTTTAAACTGTGTGATTGATCTTTGCTGGCATTTAGGGTTATTCTGACCCATAACAGTATGATATTCGTGCGAATTTCATGTCAAAATCGCATGATATTTTCATGCGAATATCATGCGTGGTCCTTTTCGTCTCCTTTTCGTGCGAAGAATTCGCATGATATTCATGCGAATTTCATATGAATTTCATGCGACCCACTTTTACCTGTGTAACATTTTCTTACTTAACATGCAGTATCATACCTTCATCATTTGCATATAGATTTTATATATCTCAGATGATTCGATACGCAAGAGCATGCACTATACATGAACAATTTCTTAGACGAGGTAAATTATTGACTCACAAGTTGATGAAACAAGAATATCAGCGGTCTCGTTTAAAGCCATCATTTTGTAAGTTCTATAGTCGATACATTTGTACAATGACCTTGTCATCAAATACAATTTATTATGGAGCCAAATGCTGACTGACGTTTTTCATACTAATTGTTAGTCCATTATTTATACATTGAATTGACGACGGATTTTTCTGTTAATTCCCGATCGTGACAAGCTAGGAGCACACGCTTCAATTATTTATTTATTTTGTATGCCTGATGCACGTGGACAGTACCCATTAGATAATCGTTTATTTTATCAACAAGTATGTTTTATCTATAGCACTTCCGCTTTTAACACAACTTTTCGCTTCAAGATGTAAATTTTTCATAACTCTTATGTTAATGTTCTTGTCTTGTCAGATAACTGCTAGTTAGCTAAAATATTTGTTGAAAACAAAGAAGACTCGTTTCAATGAACCTAAATATCGTTTTTACTACTGCGATAACATCCCCGACCCCCAACCACCTCGTTCTCATAAGAAAATAAGCCTAAATTTCGTTTCACATCTGACAACAGAATCGGATCAGGTTCTTTTGAAGAGTAACAATCCCTACGAGTATGGGTAAAAGGACGATATTGGCCATGGGTCACCATGGGCCGCTATATTACAAAAATGTTCTATTCAAATTATCGACCTCAGGCATTAATTGATAATGTGAGTAAGGATGGATTTCCGGACTTTTGTCAGCAAATAGAATTTACTTTTTATCAATAAAGTTTATTTAAATAACCACTAGTATTTAGTAAAACAACTAAACCAATAGCACTGTCTACTTATGAAAAATAATATTTATAAACAGTATCAAATGACAAAAACCAAGGGGTCAAATATATTTTTAAAAATCCCAATAATATCTATAAATATAACAAAACAGTGTACTCTTCAGAAATATCTTTAAACAACATAAAAAAACCTAAGAGATCAACATCAAATATATTGTAAATGATTATGAATAAAACATCTTATGAAAAAATACGTAAAATCAAAGAGAAGAAATCAAAAGCAAGTCAACGCCGACATAATAGCAAAACGCACTTAAAGTTGAGCAAAATATCATGTTTAAAGCAAAGATTCTAAAGTATATAAAATACAAGTGAACAAAGAAAACAAATTCATGATTTTCTTATAATTAAAGTAATGATGGAAGGGTTTTCCAAAAAGTTCATAAACAATACCATTCTTGTCAAAAGGAATCGTTTTTATTATACTAGTTATAACCCAAAATATAAGGTATAAAAATCAAAGTTAGAAAAGTTTGGGTTTTATAGTTTGAAATTAATACATTTATTAAAATCGCAGTCATATATTTTCGACGATAATGTGCATGGCCCAATCTTATTTTTTATATACATATATATTTACTTTATCATGGTCCACGAGATATTATTGTACACGTTTGTAATCGCGGATGTTACCAAGAAAATTAGGCATTTACCCAATTATGATTTTTTTTCGACAACCCTAGTATACATTATTTATGATCTGTTGATTTTGTTAAACATCGTAAATTAAAGCGGGCCGATTGTGTTTTTTATTTCGCAATAGTTCGCGCTTTAGAGCAAAAATAAAGCACTTTTACGGTTTTCAAGCAAAATTTTTTCGCTTAATTAACAAAATTAAACAAAGTTAAGAAATAAAAGGTCTAAAATATAATTACAATTTTATATAACTATTTTTAACCGATTTTGCTATTGATAGGTAGGTTGCGACGTAACAGAGTTTTTTTTTTTGACATTATAATAAACTGAAACTCTCAAAGAAAGGGGTTATAAAAATGTTATTAAGGAAAAGTAATAAACATACGCTCTTGAAACTTAAATCATAAAAATTTGAGAATGTTTCTATTATTTTTATTATGTTTTGCAATAAATCCTCTGTGTCCATCATATCAAGCAGTACTCTAAAAAAGAAAAGAAGAAAATTCGTTAATTCTTGGCATTTTGAGATGCCCCGTATGGAAGCATGATGGTAAAATTTTGTATTTCTTAAAAATATAATGTACAATATAGTATTCTTCATCAAATATAAAAGATTTTAAAAAAAGTCTATGGAAGTATTAGTATAATTTGATTTAAAGTGCCAGAATTGGCATTTTCCTATATAATCATCTATGTACCTGTATTTTAAGACGGTCTCTTAAAATATCAGGAAGGTAGATTTTCCCCAAACTTGGCATGTACACTAAAGTCAACGTAAGTTATATATGGTATAAAAATTAAGAGTTTCCCTTTTGTAGTTTTCAAACAATAAACTCCAGCCGCCCCCCTTAAGCACACATTTGAGACACTCTGATTCAAGTTCTCTTATACTGTAAATCTAATACAGTTTCAATTCTAAATTCATTAAAGGAAAAAGGACGAGGGGGGGGGGGGGGGCTCTGAAGTGTTCGTTAAAATACTGTGTTTAACCTTTCAAGTTTCTTCAAATTAAACGTCTCCTTTCTGCGTCCATTTCTGAGGTTGTTGTTTGTATTTTGGACACTTCCTGGTGTAAAATAGGTGTCTGAAAAAGGAAAACTAACCATGGGTCACAAAGCTCGTTTGATTAACTTGTCGGCCGATTTTCCCCAATATATCCCTGTGAAAATAAAAATGAATTCTTGCCTGCAACAATATGTTTTTTTAACAATAAACCCTGAATTCCGTTAACCCAGGACACCCTGGGCAAATTCTGCTTGGAATTGGCACATTGGGTCTGGAAAGAATGACGATGTGAAAAACTCGCAACGACGACGACGTCAATGAACGATCTTCGATCAGAAAAGCTCATTCAACGTTCAGCACAGGTAAGCTAAAAATTGTAATTTGTATTAAAAATACCAAAAGCGGGTCTACAGTGAATTAAACACAAACAAAGATTAGGCTTTTTGAAAACATAAATATTTTTAGACTATCACAATTCATTTTCATATTCAGGAAACATGTGCTTTAAATAATATCTTTATCGTTTACAATAAAACATACTTTATTTACCCTATATATGTGATTTAAGGCTTTTAATCTAAAAAAATTACCTTGTTAACATCTTTACGTTTTGGAAAACACGTGCAACCGATTTCTTTCAAAGCCGACTACAAAAACAACAGACATCCATTGTTAATTGTTTTCAATATCAATTTCTTTTTGACATTATACCTTAATACATGGTCATTATAGACATGCACTTCACACAGCAGGAAAAGCTTTGCAAGTGTCAAGAATGAATCATTTCATGGAACAGATTTCGATACGAACATTTTCTTTCTAACGAAAAATTACAAACCTTTCTCCAAAACTTGAGAAGTTCTTTTCTGTGAATCTTGTGATTTTCTTTAGCGTGTTTACTACAACAGACTGTGTCCTTTTTTAGTTGAAGAAGCTCATGTTCAGATATGAAGAAATGTTCAACATCTGCGCAGAATTCTTTTTCTTGACAGAAATAACCAATAGTATATTCCACTTGTTTGTGAAATGTCGTCGTGAGAGATTTCATCATGCTTTCAATGTCTTGGCGTATTTTTAGGGTAATATTACCATCAAGGTTACCCTCACGGCAAACAACCTGAAGCTGGATGGATGGCTTACAAACACCAAGAACGAGAACATGATCTTCATCTTCGTTTTTAAGAAAAACTGCATCTTTGCAAACTAAAGGTACATCATCTTGAACCAGAGTCTGCCATCTTGTCATACAATGGACAACAAGTCGGTAGAAAAAGAAATGAGGCAAGAATGTCTTGAATCGGAAAACCAAAGTGGACGTTTTGTTTGTGCAATTGCTAAGTATCTTGTCATAGGCATCCGATCTACTCTCCTTGTTCATACAAGGTACATAGTGGTATATTTGTCTTGGTTTGTCTCCTGTCTCCTCTTGTTTTACGCAGAAAGGCGGTTGGTATATTAGTTCCTTGCGTTCTTCTTTCCCCATCACTATTAGACCTAGCCTTTGCATAAATAGTAGAATTGTACTTTTGTGTTCAGCAAAGCATTTGTATTTGTGGTTTGACCACATTTCATCCAGAAGCCGATCCCCCAATTGGCCTGTCTGGTTGAAGAGCATCCAGTCGCCGACGGTTGGAGATGCGTCTTTAACTTGTGTTGGGTCGGTTATTATGTTCTTAAAAGCATCAACAAACCACTGAACATCCAGAATAACCATTTTATTTAACCCTTCCTCGTTGAAAAACAGAATTGTTCCAATCTCGTGAAAGAAAGACAGCATGATGCGCAAGTCTTCATCTTTTTCAGGAAGTTCGATTCTAATGTTTTGTTTAAGTTCTTCAATGCTCATTATCTTTTTTTCTGTTTTCAATTCTGACAGGGATATTTCAAACATAGCCCACTTGGCAGGAACTCTTTCTCCCCAGTGAGTTTGTTGGGTAGCGACTTCTACAATGGCGTTTCCTATAACTTTTGTTTCATTTTCTTCTAGAGGTGGAAGTTGAATCTCAAAGTATCGTTTCTGTGAGAGGTGTCGTTTTAATTCGGAGTCTCTTGGTAAGCATTCCATTAATTTGTCATAAAAACATTCTGTCTTGCCCTGAAAAGAGCGATGAAGTAAGAAAAAACACACAATTATCATGCTACCCAATCAAACAATAAAAATATTGATCAGAGCGAACACAGACTTCTGCAAACAGAAGTAAGGTTACGAACAACATATTTTCATTTTTTTTTATTACATGTAACAAGTGTTCCTAGTCGATCGAACTATTTGATTCCGTTCATAAACCTTACATTACCCATTAATTATGTGAAAATGTCAATGTTCGATCTGATTTTACATCACTCAATAAATTTTAATTGCAGAAGATTTAAAACGTACGATGTAGTATTTAAATATTAGAGTACTTTAAAGTGGTTTATTGAAAGGGAAAATACACTAGTGGCATGTTTGATGTAGATGATTGATCTCATTATATTTCTTGTTCTTACTTCTTTACTGACTTTATCTTTGTGCGTTGCAACCAATATTACAGGCGTTATATCATCACAGTAAGTGTTGATAGACTGCATCCAGTAGAGGAAGTATTCTAAAAATAATTCTGCGTTTTTAATATTTCTGTTTGCTTTTAGAAAACCTACACAAGACAAAAACTCCCACTCAAAATTTGTTAGCCCTGTATGTTTATCTACACAGTTATAAGTTTCTATAATCTTTTATTACAACTATATCTTTATGAAATTTATAAGAAATATGCCTCATGAATGAAATAAATGGCACTTAATTATATTTTGGTTTCCTTCATCCAATGTCACAATATAAATACAACGTATTTTTATGAATAGAAAATAGTCTTAACCTTTGTATGTCCAATCTTCATATATGGACCCATTTGCGTCCAATCGAGTGGAGTCAACCTTTTCTTCCAAACGTTTTGACATGTCTATTACAAGAATATAGAATGCACGTCTTGTAAGGTAGACTTGATGACAGGCATAATATGAACACTGACCGCCAAAGTCAGTTACACTGATCAGTTTCTCTCTTTTCTTTATGTGTCTTTCAACATCGCCAGACATTCCCTGTGGTACTTCTGTAAAAATAATTAACCCTGATACTTTCTTTACAATACATGCCTACACAGCAATTTGTGTCGATGAAGTATATGATACTAGTAAGTAGTAACATGATAAAAAAAACAGAGTTAATGTAAAACATGTAAAAAATGTCTTAAAACAGTGATAGCATAAAACGGAATATACAATACAAAGGAAAATTAGCATCATTTGGAGACAATGGTAAACCATTAAGAGTTTTAAGTGAAATGTTGATAGATTGAAGTATATGTCAACCTTTTAGCCATTTGTGGTCTTCATTATCCTCAATTTGGAACATATTATGATGAACTTCGAGCCCTACAGTTGACTCAGTGGTGTATAGGTCCTCTAAAGTCCATTTGGATTGAAGCCTTCTTAGGAAGGTCGTTTTACCTGCCCCCACACACCCAACTATCATCGCTCTTCCCCTGAACATTTCAATGCTTTCTTCACGTATGCTTTCCAAGAACTTCAGGCGCTGGTTATATTCCCATCTAAGAATTTCCTCGGGGATTTTCACTTAAAACGAACAATCAATGCTAACTATATTTGGATTGAAGGAAAGAAGGTGGAGAAAACGAACAGAAATTGATCTCAAATCATCACATTTTCATTCCAAAACAACTTTGTTCCTAGAAAATTTTATGTGATTTTTACCAATTTTTTTTCCATAGGTTCTATCCGCTAAATGTACTTACATATTCGGCTCACTAATGGATGGATATTGGTATCTGTAATAGTGGGATGTGTGATTATACCCAAGTCTAGTTTTACAATGAGTTTCTCGGTAAAAATGCTAGAGAGACAAATACACCATTCTTCTTGAGAACCAAGATACCCAGATGTCCTGCAGTACTTTGCGATCAGGTCAACTGGTGCCTTATCCAGAAGGAAATGAATGTTTTTCTGAACAAGATAACCGTGTTGAATATAAGCCCAGAGACTCTGTCTCTCAACTTCATCAGAGGTAAATGACAACTGGGTCCCCGTACAAATCATGCTATCATATGTGGAGCAGTCAGATTTTATATTATCTGGGATAGGTTCTGCATCTGGACCTTTGGTGAAGGCGTACAAGTCCTTCAGGATCTCCGAGTGATCCTTGTTTTCCAGATCCACGCAGCCTCCTTCGCAGAAGAGAAGCCAGAAATGGAGGTACCTTTTGATTGAGTTGAAACCTATCCTGCTAAACAAATCTGTAAGACAATTTTTAGACATACTACAATTTCTTATTTATTACAATTCGTTATTGTCGTTTTCAACTAACTAGTAAGTGTTTAGTCAGTAGCCAAATATCTTTTTGTTAATGCATAGGACAAATTTTTGTAGACATGTTTTATTTTTTGCTATATATTTGACTATTTGTAAAAGTTAACCATATTCTTGTCGTTCTTCTTGTCCCTTAAGGTGAGTACAATCTTGATCCTGTACATGGGGTTCTGGGATCATGACGGTGTAGAGGTCAAGGTCACTAGTCGCAGATTCAGAAGTTGTGTCTGGTTTCAAATACAGCCAATCCCAATGGTTTGATAAAGGTTCCCCAACATTAACGGCTGAAGGACTTTTGAGGCGTACAGGAGTTATTCCTAAACAACAAAAATATATTTAAATTTTGATGACAATTTAATTTGATGGTAACTCTTTTATTAAGTCTGAAATGAAAAAAAAAATAGATTGGGAGTTTTCGTTTACAAATTTGACAGTTGATTAAATCTGATCAGAAAGACCTTTTACTTTCTCCTTTGCCATACTTCCCTCTCTAAACATTTCAAAGACAAGAAGATATTACTCCAGTTAAAGTCAGTGACGTTTTGTCAAACTGCTGTAAATCATTTTATTTTCCGGAAACCTGTAAATTTTTGAGAGATAGCTATTTGATACTTATTAATGAGACAAGCTTTTAACAAGCCATAGCTTTTGTTGCATATAATTCTTAGAAGTACAAATATACGCGTTAATGACATTTTCGAGAGCAGACAGACACAGGTAACTCAGGCGCGGATCCAGAAATTTTTCAAAGGGGGGGGGGGTTGAAGTATTTTTCAAAAGGGGGGTTGAAGGCGAAAACACTTAAACGTACGTTGTACATATACATATAGTTAAATAACTCAATAGAATATCGATACAGGGTGGAGTATAGTTTTTGAAAGTGGGACGTTGATCAATCTGGGAAAAAGTACTTTTATACATTACCAGAAAGTTTTTGAAGAAAGGAAAATAAATTCCCGAACCTGAAAATCCTATGGGGTTTTATTTTGTTTTTACAACTGCATTTCTTTATATATTACAACATTAGCCTTTCACCTTACATTTTCTATAATAGAAACACAACAAAAAAATTGGAACTTTCTTATTTCTCTTTTGCAAATCCAAAGGGGGGGGGTGCAACCCCCGTAACCCCCCCTCTGGATCCGCCACTGTAACTCTCGAAAAATAAAGTTCTCGAAAAGAAAGGATGTACGCGCGGTTAAATAGCTAAGCATTTTTAATTATAATAATAATATATTTATTATAGTGACTTGTGTAATACAACAAAATATTATAATATATCTCAAATATAAAGATTGAAACATTACACCCGGCTCTTTGGGCCTATAAGTCACCTGTATTTAAATCATACATTTCCTCACGGAAATATATAATTATAATCTTATCATAAATGCAATTATCTACCATATCAGTTTCAAATTTAGACATTTTATGAAATACATGCAGTATTCTAGTACATGTAACTTACCTATATGAATAGGCCTGCTCACGACAGAATGTCCTAACGACGTTCCCATACATGAGTATTTTCCACTATCCTCCGAGGTCGCACCATTGATAATCAGCATGGGCGTGCTGTCTTTTCCAGTTTTATATTTCTCTCCGTTAGATATATCAATGGCTGATTCATTTTTGGTCCACATAATATTTGATAAATTCGAGTTCCATGGTATGAATATATACAGTCCATTCATACATTGCCTAATTGCGATGACTAAATAAATGTAAAAGAAAAGAAACAATCTTGTGTTATCAAAGATGAAGTAACAAAAGAGTAGCACATTGATAAAAAAAAATGTCAGTCCTTAAAAAAATTCTAAATCTAGCCTTATGTCTCCAGCTCTATAAACAAAAACAGTAAAAATTAAAATTCTAATTCACAGAATTACACTTTTGTTATTTGATATACTCCATTCATATAACCTCCGTCCTCAGCCAACATGTCAAAAAAAGACAATGGGGGCTAATTAAGCTACTTATTTGTCTCTGTTTATGATATCTCTCAGAACGACGTGATAATTCGTCATTATCATTCTTTTTGCAAATTATGTGCATTGATGTAGTGTTATGTAGTACATATAGGTTATAGAAGGTCACATGTCAAATTTCTAATTTTTATGCTTAATGCAAATTTTTATCAATTTTCTAGTGCAATTTGCTTCAGAAAATATAGACATTAATTTTGTCTGTCTTCCAAGTTTATATTTTTTATGCAGTAATATATGAATCCATTGTGACTATAAAAATCTAAGATAGGCAAGTCTATGCTCTACTTTTCCTGAGTTGAAATCAATCTTTTTTGTGTAAAAAAAAATCTCACCTAATTGGCTGCTACTGGGTCCTTTTGTTGTTACACTACTATTCACATGTGAATGCAGCAACGGTAGTTCGAAGGCAGTGCCCTGAGTTATTTTCGCAGTTTGTTTTCTTCTCCGGCGCCTTATAAAAAACGCAAAACCGCCAACAGCCATGACTAGAAATATAAAAACTACGACTATGATTACGTAGAGATCGGCCTCTGTGTTCTTCGTCAAGTCGTCAGTTGTGTACGTGGAATTTACGTCATAGTGATATGTTGATACGGAATGTGACGTTGAAACACCTTGCGTGACAAATGACGGCTGTATCGTCGTCAAACTGAAATATGAAATGAAGACTTCATTTCTTTGATCAAAAAATCTGTTAATGCAATAAAACAAGAAAAGAAAAGAAGAAAGAAAAAAATATATGTAGATATAAAAGGAGGACATCTAAAATGTACTTTGTGTAAAAGAGAAGATATAAAGGATTAATTAAAAGGACGTATGCAACTCTTATAAATACTCGTACAAAAAAATAATTAAATACATGAACCCAGGAATATTGAGGAAAAAAGGACACTGTATACCTCGTTGATTCTGTACAGTTTGGATCTGCACGGTAACAACGATGTATGGTATCGATATTTTGGCATTCTTCAACTGAAAAAAAGTTCAAATAACGATTAATCCACTTTCTCTAATGCATTCTTAGTATTTACTTCAATGATAAGCTTTAGCTACACATGAGATTTCGTTTCGTAGAGGTGAACGATACTCATACTCATATTATACGCCAACACGTGCTGAGTTGTTCTTGTTGTCTTATATTTTATATTTCGCTGAGTATATTGTATAACTAGTTTGCTCTATTAAAATTCAAAATGATTTCTCTAAGTGTATAGTTTACGTACACTTGTATATTGAATTTCCGGGAAAATGCTCAGTTGGGCATCCGGAAGTGAACAGTGTGCAGCTGTCTTGATTCAAATATCCAGCTCCTGCCAACTGCAAACAATTTCCTAGACAACAAAAAATCAATACATTGTTGATTTTATGAGTATTTGATTATTTTTACCTGTGTAACTTCTTTCATGAGTTTAGAAATCAGAAATGGGGTATTTTGCAATTTTATTGGTAGTTGTGCATGACGTTATCCTATAAGTTGAATTGGTGTGGGCCTGTTTTATTTCGAGTTGAAGATAGGTGCATTTTGTTTCTTAGTATTTGCAACATTTATATGGGGTTCCATTCAGTTCGAGATAAAGAAATGTTCATTTTTTTACTTATTGAATATCCATATTACTTATTAAGGAAATATGCATTAGCTGTAATGAAACATATGGAGATAATGAACCGTTTTAAAGATCAAAAGTCCATACAGCAATACTAAATAGGAGCCGAGCAAACCCCATAACACAGGTGTGATTAAGTGCCATGAAAGAGTGAACATCCCCTGCCCGCCGTTTGCTCCTTGACATGATCAGGAAATAACGGGAAAATCCGTCGTTAATTCAGAGTATAAATATAATGGAGAAACATAAGTTTGAAAAACTTCAGTCAGCATTTGACTCTTTGGTAATTTGTATTTGCTAGACAGGTCATTGTACAAGTGTATCATACCTAGAACTTACAAAATAATGGCATTATAATACACGAAACTGCTGATATTCTTGTTTTATCAACTAACTTGCTTGTCAATAATTTACCTCGTTTTTAGAAATTGTGCATACGTATGCTCTTGTGCATCATATCAGTTGAGATATATAAACTCCGTATCCAGATGGAAAATGTATGTTGCTACATATGCAAGGGAAGTTGAAGGTAGTTAAAGTTATCACGTTTATCATAGAGCTTGGTTGTAAGATTAACATTAACGGGTTTTTTTTTTCAAGTAAAATATCCAAATATTAAAGAAATGTTTCAGACTCGTTTGTACCTTTTTTTTCTCAAGCTCATCAGGATATATCGTATCGACATAAGAATGGAAATAACCATTGTTAATTGACAATACGTCATGGATATAATTAAATGTCAAGTTGAAGGCCACAGCAAGTGTTTTCTTCTTTTCACTCACAAGATTTTGCACAAATTCTGCTTCATATGAATACAAAAAAAAATCTGCTAATAATGAGGCACATGGCACCCATTGGAATTCCATAAGATTGTTGGAATACCTGGTCTCCAAAAACCACATAGATATTGTTAATCAGAAACTAAAGCATCTTTTTGGTGTCAAATTCAGAGTAGTTGTTGGTACAATCAGAATTGGTGGTGGTGTAATGATTTATGTTTCAAATTTAATTAAGGCTAGTCGAAGAGAAGATTTAGAACCCGTTGATACAGATCACATTTGGATAGAAATACCACAAGTAAAGGGAAAACTACTTATATGTTGTATTTATCGTCCACCACACACTAATGGTGTCTTTTGGCAAAAAATATCTTGGTCATTTGAAAAGGCTTGTGATATCTCTAACAATATTGTTGTACTTGGTGATCTTAACGTTGATTTTTTAAAAGTTAACAACTCACATGAGATTCATACAATTATGAATAGCTGTAGGTTAACAAATATTATACACGAACCTACAAGAATAACTTGCGATACAGAAACACTTATAGATCCTATCATTATTAGTGACAATATACATGTACATGATTCTGGAACATTACAAGTTAGTAATACAGTTAGTGATCATAAAGCAACTTATATATTCACCAGAATACAAATGTAAATGTGGCATATAAACGTAAAATTTGGAACTATAAACAAGCAGATTTAGAACTCCTTAATGATTCTATTGTAAAATGCGACTGGAATAGCCTTATTGATGATACAGAAAACATTAATACTGCTACAACAAACTTCACAGAAAAATTTAACTCTATTATTCATCAATGCATACCTGAAAAAACTGTTACTATAAGGCCAAATGATAAACCATGGATGGACTCTCTTCTAAAGAAAACCTTGCGTATTCGCAATAGACTAAGAAAAATAGCACAAAAAACAAAAAGAGAATCTGATAAGGAAAACTTTCGCAAAGAAAGGAATAAGTTTAATAATATGAAAAAATATGCTATTAAAAACTATTATGACAACATAGATTCTCATCTTAAGGATGCTAGTCTGAACAATCAAAAACTATACTGGAAGTTACTGAAAGATACTTTTCACATTAAACCAACAAATGAAATTCCACCTATTCAGTTTACAGACAACAATGGCACTGAAAGTTTTGCATTTTCAGACATAGAAAAAAATAGAACTATTAAATAAATATTTCACATCAATTACAGAGTTAGATGACAGTAATCAAGAGCTCCCAAATATAGTGTCAAGATGTACGGATAATTTTCCACACATTGAAATACAAGAGCAAGAAATCATTGATATAATTTCTATTATTCCTGTCAATAAAGCCGTTGGTCATGATTGCATCAGCCATAAAATGTTAAAATCTTGCAAAGAAACTATCTCAAAACCTTTGTGTATGCTATTCAACAAATCCCTATCACTAAAAACATTTCCAGACTGCTGGAAACTAGCACATGTTCTTCCACTTTTTAAGAAAGATGACCCTTCCATCACTTCAAACTATAGACCAGTTTCTTTGCTGAGTTGTATAAGCAAAATCTTTGAAAGAATAATTTTTAAGCATGTTTACAATTTCTTGCATTCACATAATATATTTTATAAATACCAGGCAGGTTTTTTACCAGGTCATTCCACAGTATATCAACTCTTAGAAACATACCATTCTATAGTAAAAAGTGCTGATGAAGGTAAATTCTGTTGTTTGGTGTTTTGTGATTTATCAAAGGCATTTGATAGGGTCTGGCATAAAGGCTTAATTTACAAATTAAAAATGTATGGAATTAATGGTGATAGATTGTTTTGATAGTTATTTAAGCAAAAGAACCCAACAAGTCATGTATAGAAATCATTTTTCCTCAGTAGGACAAGTAAAAGCTGGAGTTCCTCAGGGCTCAGTACTTGGTCCCCTATTATTTTTATTGTATGTAAATGATGTGGCTGAAAATATGATATCTCTTTGTAGACTATTTGCTGATGATAATTCTTTACAACAATGTTCAGATAATATTAATCATATTGAACAAAATCTTAACCACGATCTTAGAATACTAGATGACTGGTCAAAGAAATGGTTATTGAAATTCAATCCACAGAAAACCAAAGCAGTATTTTTTAGTTTGAAAAATATACAGCATTTTCCTAAATTATTTTTTGACAATTGCCAATTGGAATATATTACGGAACACAAACATCTTGGGATACTTCTGTCGTCTAACTTAGGATGGTCTGATCATATTGATACCATTATAAAGAAAGCATACAAAAAAATTAAGGCTTCTTAAAAAATTAAAATTCACTGTGTCAAAAGATATTCTGTCCCAAATGTATATATCTTTTATTAGACCACAACTTGAATATGCTGTTGAAGTTTGGTCTGGATGCACAAAAACAGACATTGAGAATCTTGAAAAAGTACAATTATATGCTGCAAGAATAGTTACTGGGCTTACAATTATTGCTTCAAGAAATTCATTATATTTGGAAACAGGCTGGGAACCACTGGAATATAGAAGAAATAGGGCAAAACTAATAACAATGTATAAAATGCACAATAATTTAGTCCCTATTTACTTGCAAAACTTAGTACCTGATACAAGAGGCAATATTTCAGGATACACTACCCGGAATTCTTTAAATTATTGTTTGCAAAAATACAGATTAGAACTCTACAATAAATCATTTATACCCGATACTGTTAGAAAGTGGAATTCCCTTAGTCTAAAAACAAGGGAGGCAACTTCTATTAAAATTTTCAAAAACTATCTTCAAAATAGTAATGTAAAACCTCAGAAATATTTTTCTTATGGAAAAAGGTTTTTGAACATAATTCATACAAGATTAAGACACAATTGTATTTCAAAGTCTGATTTATATCGCTGTAACCTAATAACCAGTCCTAATTGTTCTTGTGGACTACTAGAAGATACATATTATCTGTTTTTTGTTTGTAAACATTATGTAAAAGCAAGAAATTCCTTAATGAATAAGCTATTGTCATTAAATTACTTACATATTATAGATGTACATTTAATACTATGGGGTGATGATTCTTTAACTTTCGAACAAAATGCTGAACTTTTTAAGACTATTCAAACTTTCTTAAATGAATGTGGTCGTTTTTCCAAATAAGTTTTTTTCTCACCATCTCAAATTATTTTTGTATATTTAAAGAATTTATTCCTTTCTATTGCTACAATGTATACAGTGTATGTAGTAGACCATATGTATATATGTTTGTTTTACTTTGGCAATTTCACAAAATGTTATATTAGGAGAGGACTATCTAAGTTTCTGAACTTGTGTCCGATCCTTTTGACTTTGTCAATAAAATATGTTCAATTCAATTCAATTCATCAGAACGTTTTAACAAAATGATTTTGCAAAAGACCGATGCCAAGGTAAGTAAAGAGAGTTCCATTTTTATTGGAAAATCAGCTGTCAAAGGTATCAAAAAGAATGTAACTAATTAATTCCCAATTAAACAATCAAAGAACGCATTAAATAAATAAATACTAGTAATCAAGAAGAAAAAAAATCGTACTATAAAATATAAATATCCTTGTACCTTTGAAAGTAGAGCCACTGGTCTAAATTCATTCTATGCATGTGGTATTTTAGTGGCGTTTACAACTGATTGATAAACGCCAGGGTTTTCTTAATAATATTCAATGGATGTAAATATTATTAATTGAAATATTATCCTCTGCAAAACATTTAAAGCTCCAAACAAAAGTTATAAAAAGATTTTCCGGTCTCAACCGAAAGTTTTTGTAATATTGGAATCTTGTATTTTCCATCTATGTACGTTAATTTTTAGGGTGTATTTCAGATGTTTTCCTTTTTCTGTTGCATAAAATGATTACATTATATCAATGTCGACAAACTCTATCTGATTAGTATCGCTACCACTTGTTTTTACCAGTATATATAAACAGCAATTGGTTTTAATGAAAACATGGATCCAAAATGCTACTTTTTTAATAAAAATTATTTTCTATTACCGGTATATGTATACATATGTATGTCCAATGTTTTGTTTTGTTTTGTTTTTTTTTTTTTTGAACATATTTTATTGACGAAATGTCAAAGGGATTGGACACAAGTTCCAAAATTCCTGCAATAAATCTTTGAACAATACCATTTTTTTTTCATTTTCCTGTGAAGATAAGGAATCATCTCCCCATAGCAATTAATGCACATTAATCATTTTTTACATTTTGAGTTACAAGTATTCATCATTAGGCGTCTAGGTTCAAAATTTTTTCTACAAACAAAGAAAAAATGATGACTATCCTCTTTCATACCACAAGAACAATTTGGATTACTTATGATTTTACATCTATACAGATCATTATTTAAAATACAATTGTGTCTTAATTCGGTACAATGTTTTTAGGTAATCAGGAGCTAGGTTGTTGTGGATTTTAAACATTGTTAAAAGTTTGGCTATGTCTCTTCTTCTTACAAGAGGTTCCAAACCTGTTTCAATATACAACGAATTTCTTGATGCTAATACTGAAAGACCTTTCCAATGTGCTACTGGATTTAAGATTAGAAGTGAACATAGAACTTACCACTTTCGAAAAGCGAAGGTTCCCGATCATAGCAGAACTCTACATGGGACGACTTCTGGTAGTTAGGAATGCAGTAGTAAAAGTTCGTGTTTGTACAGTTTATTTTCGAAGCCGATTCTTCTATAGATGTCAGATTCTCCGGACAATTAAGAACGTTATACACAGGGAATCTATACATATTTCTCACTCGCTACTAACCATAGATATCACATTTATTTTTTTTTTTTCAATAATTTTCATCGGAAGGCCAGTGAGAGAGGATTTAGGTTAATGTATTCACGAAAACATCTACTTACTCGCAAATTTTACGGATCTAGTTTCGTTTTCTGCAAAAGAGATAGTCTCGTTCAACCTATAAATAGCTTTTAAAATTCCCTGTTTTATTTTTCACATTCTGGTTAGTTTATACGGTGTAGTCTATTTTAAGGCACATGACATTTTGTGTAAGTAACACTAAAATATAAAAATACGATCATTCACAATTAAAACTACATTTAATCATACCCAGGAGGGTTTGAACTTTAAATTATCCGTGTTCAATTGACCAAGGATGTACGAGGATTTACTTTATTCCTAACTGCAATAATGCAGCCCTCTCCATTTTTTTTTAAATCTGATATTTTTGAGAGAGGGCTAGCCCCACGCCACCCCCCCCCCCAAAAAAAAAGAGGGAGTGTGCTACATTATTGTAGCTACTTTAATATGAGGCCAAAGGGTAAAAGAAATACAACCCGGAGATCTCCCTATGCAACCTTGATGTTTTTTTTATTAAATAGGAAATCCGTTATCTATGTCCGAGCGATTAACCTGCATGGATCAGGAATTTATTTCCTTGTAATCAAAAGCATTCTCCGTTAATTGAGGCTAATCAATCGTATGCACATTGTTCTATTTTTTTTTAATTGCAAAAGTACCATGGTTTCACAATTCTTAGCAAAGTCAAACTTTTACTGAATTCAGCCAAAATTCCTTGGTTTATTCAATAAAACAAAATTCTGCAAAGTATTCCAAATCATTAAACCTTTATAATGCAATCAAATTATGCAAGAGCACTTTTTATAGAAATGCTATCCAGATCAATATACTGTGAAAGTCGTAAGAATGAAGGTCCCCCTTTCTAATCATTACTTCTGTATGATTGACTAATATGTTAGGCAATTAAATGAAAGCCAATATTTGTATCTTCAGTGAATGGATCACTCATTATGCATTGAGAAAACTTATTCTGTAAAGGCTGTACATGTAAGTGCTCTTGCTTCTCCTTTCATTCAATAAACTTTCTTATTCTACTGAACAATCTGATATGAAATTGCATCAGGATGTCTAGGATCATTGCTTTTAAAGCAATTTTTAATATCATTTAACAATTTCTTTATACAATGCACATATATGTCAAAACAAAGGTACACTTTTAACACTTTTCTCACTAAAACAAAACACATATTCTTCTTTGAACCTTAAAAATGCATCTCCCTCAGAAACTGAGATTCGTGTGTTTGCACAGATTTGAACACTGATGTACTGCAGGGCTCATTGCTAAAAATAAATTCACACAGCTTCCAATGTAGGAGCAGTATATCATGACAGTAGTTCTTCATCTCTCTTTCTCTGTTCCTTAAATAAAACAGGACAAAAATAAACAAGAGGCCCATGGGCCATATCGCTCACCTGAGAAGCTTTGACAATTCTGTCCTTTACTAGATTTACCCCTTGTAATACATATTGTGACCCCACCCTACCCCACTGATCATAATTTAGACAATTTGAAATCTACACTACCCCAGGATGCTTCAATATAAGTTTCAGCTTTTCTGGCCCAGTTGCTATTAAGAAGAAGATTTTCAAAGATTTTTCCTATATATTTCTATGTAAAACTTTGATTCCCCATTGTGGCCCCGCCCAATCCCCGGGGGTCATGATTTGAACAATTTAGAATCTACACGATCCAAAGATGCTTCCACATAAGTTTCAGCTTTTCTGGCCCAGTGGTTCTTGAGAAGAAGATTTTCAAAGATTGTTTGTATATATATTTCTATGTAAAACTTTGATTCCCCATTGTGGCCCTGCCCAATCCCCGGGGGTTATGATTTGTATAATTTAAAATCTTCACTATCCCAGGATGCTTCCACATAAGTTTCAGCTTTTCTGGCCCAGTGGTTCTTGAGAAGAAGATTTTCAAAGATGTCTCCTATATATTTCTTTGTAAAACTTTGATTCCCCATTGTGGCCCCGCCCAATCCCCGGGGGTCATGATTTGAACAATTTAGAATCTACACTATCCAAAGATGCTTCCACATAAGTTTCAGCTTTTTTGGCCCAGTGGTTCTTGAGAAGAAGATTTTCAAAGATGGTTCCTATATATTTCTATGTAAAACTTTGATTCCCCATTGTGGCCCCGCCCAATCCTCGGGGGTCATGATTTGAACAATTTAGAATCTACACGATCCAAAGATGCTTCCACATAAGTTTCAGCTTTTCTGGCCCAGGGGTTCTTGAGAAGAAGATTTTCAAAGATTTTTCCTATATATTTCTATGTAAAACTTTGATTCCCCATTGTGGCCCCGCCCAATCCCCGGGGGTTATAATTTGAACAATTTAGAATCTACACTATCCAAAGATGCTTCCACATAAGTTTCAGCTTTTCTGGCCCAGTGGTTCTTGAGAAGAAGATTTTCAAAGATTTTTCCTATATATTTCTATGTAAAACTTTGATTCCCCATTGTGGCCCCGCCCAATCCCCGGGGGTTATGATTTGAACAATTTAGAATCTACACTACCCCAGGATGCTTCCACATAAGTTTCAGCTTTTCTGGCCCAGTGGTTCTTGAGAAGAAGATTTTCAAAGATTTTTCCTATATATTTCTATGTAAAACTTTGATTCCCCATTGTGGCCCCGCCCAATCCCCGGGGGTTATGATTTGAACAATTTAGAATCTACATTACCCCCAGGATGCTTCCACATAAGTTTCAGCTTTTCTGGCCCAGTGGTTCTTCAGAAGAAGATTTTTTAAAGACCCAACCCTATTTTTGTCTTTTCTTGATTATCTCCCCTTGCGAGGGGATATGTCCCTTCATTTTAACAATTTAAATTCCCATTTACCCAAGGATGCTTTGTACCAAGTTTGGTCAAAATTGGCCCAATGGTTCTTGAGAAGAAGTCGAAAATGTGAAAAGTTTACGGACGGACAGACGGACGGACGGACGGACGACGGAGACAATGTGATCAGAAAAGCTCACTTGAGCCTTCGGCTCAGGTGTGCTAAAAATGAAAGTGAATTCTATAACCACAATCTCTGTCCAATTTTTACCAAATGTATACTTGTATATTTGAATTTTCACATATCAAATGATCGGTACATGTTGGATTCTTGCTTTTGAAAAGATTTTGAAAACAAAAATATTACCACGCAGGCCTCTTATATTGCCTATTTTATAGTAAATATCTGAATCTAAGCCAAACACAGAGATTTTATCTTATAATTAATCTTTACAATTATAGTAGATAATTGGAAACATCTCAAGTGAAATTAAGTTCGTTGAGCCATTCTAGAGAAATTAAACTAGAAATCCTCAATTATACAAAACTTTCATAGCTTACTTCACTTATTTTCTTTCTCTTCTTAGTCTGAATTTCCTCATCTTCATCCAGCATTTCCTGTAGTTTTCTTTTATACCTGAAAGATAAAAAATAAATCATAATTTGTCCATCCTTTTTCCTGATAATCAGTTCCAATAAACATTTATAACACCACATTCAAACAAGAGGCCCATGGGCCACATCGCTCACCTGAGAAGCTTTGACCATTCTGTTCTTTACTAGATTTCCCCTTGTAATACATATTGTGACCCCACCCTACCCCACTGATCATAATTAAGACAATTTGCAATTACACTACCCCAGGATGCTTCCACATAAGTTTCAGCTTTTCTGGCCCAGTGGTTCTTTAAAGATTTTTCCTATATATTTCTATGTAAAACTTTGATTCCCCATTGTGGCCTCGCCCAATCAACGGGGGTTATGATTTGAACAATTTAGAATCTACACTACCCAAGAATGCTTTCACATAAGTTTTTTTGGCCCAGTGGTTCTTGAGAAGAAGATTTTCAAAGATTTTTCCTATATATTTCTAAGTAAAACTTTGATTCCCCATTGTGGCCCCGCCCTTCCCCCGGAGGTCATGATTTGAACAATTTAGAATCTACACTACCCAAGAATGCTTTCACATAAGTTTCAGTTTTTTTTGCCCAGTGGTTGTTTAGAAGATTTTCAAAGATTTTTCCTATATATTTCTATGTAAAACTTTGATTCCCCATTGTGGCCCCGCCCAATCCCCGGTGGTCATGATTTTAATAATTTAGAATCTACACTACCCAAGGATGCTTTCACATAAGTTTCAGCTGTTCTGGCCTAGTGGTTATTAAGAATAAGATTTTCAAAGATTTTTCCCATATATATTCCTATGTAAAACTTTTATTTCCTATTGTGGCCCCTCCCAACTCCCAGGGGTCATGATTTGTACAATTTAGAATATACAATACCCAAGGATGCTTTCACATAAGTTTCAGCTTTTCTGGCCCAGTGGTTCTTGAGAAGAAGATTTTAAAAGATTTTTCCTATATATTTCTATGTAAAACTTTGATTCCCCATTGTGGCCCCGCCCAATCCCCGGGGGTCATGATTTGTGCAATTTAGAATCTACGCTACCCAAGAATGCTTTCAAATAAGTTTCAGCTTTTCTGGTCCAGTGGTTATTTAGAAGATTTTCAAAGATTTTTCCTATATATTTCTATGTAAAACTTCGATTCCCCATTGTGGCCCCGCCCAATCCCGGGGGGTCATGATTCGAACAATTTAGAATCTACACTACCCCAGGATGTTTCAGCATAAGTTTCAGCTTTTCTGGCCCGGTGGTTCTTCAGAAGAAGATTTTTAAAGATTTTCCCATATATTTCTATGTAAAACTTTGATTCCCCATTATGGCCCCGCCCAATCCCCGGAGGTCATGATTTGAACAATTAAGAATCTACACTACCCCAGGATGCTTCCACATAAGTTTCAGCTTTTCTGGCCCAGTGGTTCTTAAGAAGAAGATTTTCATAGATTTTTCCTATATATTTCTATGTAAAACTTTGATTCCCCATTGTGGCCCCGCCCAATCCCCGGGGGTCATAATTTGAAAAATTTAGAATCTA